TTTGATTTGTACCCTTTTTTTGCATGTGTTTGTTTGGTTTTCTTTCTTTTCTTTTTTCATATCTAAACGTGACTATTTGTTCGGTCTCACATACCCAGGCTCAGCACTTTGATTACGTTTCATGGAAAGGGTTAGAGTAATTGTTTGAACTTTGAGATGTTAATTTCTTCTGTTTGAAGGTGACCTTGAGAACTGTGCAATATGGGAAAGGAAAACAAATTACTCCCTCCGTTCCTTATTATAAGAGACATTTGATGCTTATGGCATGTTCCTATATATAAGAGACACTTACAAGTTGTCTCTACCTTTTTGTGTTGATTTACTATTTTACCCATATTTATTATCTCCAACTCACACTCTCTCTCCCTCCCACTTCTCTTTCTTTTAATAATTTAATTGTTCTCTCTCATGCTCTCTCTCCTTATTAATGAGGGCATTTTTGGAAAAAAAATATACTTTTTACACATTAATTGTTCTTAACTAATTTTAACTGTTTTTTTGATCAACGTATTTCGGTTATTTGTCTCTTATAATAAGGAACGGAGGGAGTAGTAATTACCAGTTAATGATGATATATATATATATATATATATATAGGGTCTGTTTGAGATGTTACTTAATTACTTCATCAAGCCTTTGTCTTTCATCAGCTCACTTTTCTCTGCCAAAGGCAGTAGTACTACTCCTGCATCTATATGAAGTCATTATTCTTGAAGCCTGTTCTCATCAGAGCCCAGATCTAGAATACAGAAAACCTGTTTGGTTTCTGAACTAAATGAAACTTGTTTCCAAACACCGTACGGAGACTTCAAGTTATCGGTAAAAGCGTATCATGTGAACGTGTGTGTAAATATGGAGTATTATTGACTCATTTACGAAAAAAACAAAACCCCTATATTATCTCATTTCTTTCTAGCTCTACATAACATTATTACTGGTTGGATCAGTTTCTGAATCATTCTTAATCCCTTGAAAAGAAGCTTAAATTTGTGGTTATCTCTTAATTATTGGAAGCAAATAAGAACTATGATATGCGGGTTCCAATAAGCATTACAAGTTTCAACTTATGAAGCCACAAGGACTTAGAAATTGGCTAGCTTTATATAAACACCTTACTTATAAAGCTTACAAAAGCCAACACATTCTATACTGCTTTTGGTAATAATCATCAGACTTCGTTTTAAGATTATAGATGAGGTTTTATAATTAAGACAGGAGGTAGTATATCAGAAACATGTCAGATCATAAACTTGGAAATGTTCTTTTTTTATTATTATTTGAATTGTAAAGGAGGCGAAATTTGCCCTGTGGGGATAGAACACTCTACCTTCCCCCATGCAAGGGGACTAGCTTTACTATTAGAGCAAGGCACCCCGTGCCAAATATTTATTTCTAATTGAAGAATTGTGTCATGTTAATGCAAGCATCTAACATATTTTATCTTTTAAATTAAGCTGGTAAGCGCATAATATATATGGATTTAGAGATGGGAAATTAATTAGAAGTGAGTAAAAAGAGAGAATTAGTAGACTCTAGATATATTTTATTCTCTTTATCTCTTATCTCTAACACCAGTTAGAAAAATATGACTCAGGCGGTATTTCAATGGAAATCAATCCATAATTTCAAAAGTGTTTTTATGGTTTAAGAAGTAAACATGTAGAGGAGTTTGTCTCGTTTTACGAAAAAGTATTTCTCAGAAGCACTTTTAAGGGTTGCCAAACACCCTCTCAATCTTCTACATATCCATGTATAAAACCTGTTATTGGATGCCATTTAGCTTAGACTATGTCTAAAACATGAGAAATGCCACTATGACACTAACACTATAAGGTTTTGCAGATGCATATGTGGGGGCATGGGTCTCAGTACAGAAAGGGTCCAGATTCTCTAAGAGGAACACAACCTACGGCAATGCTAAGGCTACCATGTTTCTGTTGTGCGCCAAACTGCAAGCACAACATAGAGCATCCAAGGGCAAGGCCTCTGAAGGATTTCAGAACCCTGCAAACTCATTACAAGAGGAAGCACGGCACGAAACCCTACATGTGCAGAAAATGCAGCAAAGCTTTCGCTGTGAAAGGTGATTGGAGGACCCACGAGAAGAACTGTGGCAAAATTTGGTATTGCCTTTGTGGTTCTGACTTCAAACACAAGAGGTCTCTTAAAGACCACATTAGGGCTTTTGGCCATGGCCATGGCGGAGCTTTTCCTGGCCTTGATAATTGCAGCTTGCTGGAAGAAGATGAAGCAAATTCTGAGATTGAACATGATGCTGAAAACTCAATGTGAAGATAATTAAAACTAAGGCTCAACTCATTAATTATCCTCTAGCTAATTATCTGCATATGTACATGTTTCCTATTCCAGGAGGTTCTACTACACCTGACTTCTTCTCTCCAAGTTTGATTAAGATCTTGTGAGTTTGAGGTTTGTGAATAAAAAACTGTTAGGAATCAGTGATTTAACTCGGACTCAGACTCCAATTGGTCGGGACTCAGTGTCACTTCTGGAAATAGGAACCAAAAACAATAGAATCATGTATTATATATATACTCTTAGATATTAATTATTGTCTTTTTATATATGTTGTGATATTGCTAGTGTCTAGTTTAATTTCTTCTGCTTAAATATGGTTTTTAAAAAAGGTTTTTTGTACTTTTTCTTCATGCATGTGATTGAATGTACCGTGATTTTTCCTCATGTATATATATGCGTTGATTAATGTATGCTCATCTACACGTTCTTGAGAAAATCTTTATGGTAGATCAATGTTTAATCCCTCAAACATTTTTTTCCTTTTCAAAAATCTTTATGAGCTTGGTTACAAAAAATGACATGATTTCCAAGGGCTGAAGACCTTGGTAATGTTATGTGCTCTCTCAAAATATACATAATCAGGTTTTTATTGCTATAAACTATATATACACTAACTTATTAATATGTAGCTAATTACGTCATTTTTGTGGTATTATATTGTAGGACGTTAATGGGTTATATTCTCAAACTTAAGGGTATTATTATTGCAAAAAACAAACAAAAAAGCTTAAGGTTATAACAATTATAATTTTTTCTGAACATGTATTACAATTACAATTAGAGTATGGAGTCACAAAACCCCATCAATTACGTAACAAACTTTAATCTGCCCTAATGTATGTGTTCCTTCATTTACCTCTATGCATATAACGTTGCAATTCTCGACGGGATGTTTGATTTATTCAAAAAGTACTTTCAAAAATTATTTTCATGCAAATTAAGACAAAACTCTTCTTACGTAATAATTTTCACATCATAAAATTACTTATAAAATCATGGTTTGATTTTCAACTAAACACCCCCATAATCTTGCTATGCACATACTGTTTCAAATAACTAATTTACAGTATTAAAAAATTAATTCAAGTTTATTATTTATATAAAAATATATTTTGATTATTTACCTTAGAAGCATATAGAACCTCTCTTTTAATGTATGAAATCAGTAAGAACAGCTTGAAAAAAATATATTAAGAAATAGAGTAAAATAAAGTCTTCTACATATTTAGAATTAATAAACTTTTATATTTAGGATTAGAAGATCATATTATTTCAAGATAAAGTAATAATACCCCCTATTATTATTAGGAGGAGACATAACATAACAGATCAGGAGAAAGGCCAAGTTCATAGTGCAGGTAGAGTAGTGAATGAAATATACAATAGTGTTCAAAATTCAAACGCTCTCTAATTGGTTGGGGAAAAAACATCTAATTGAAAAGTGCATTGGGGAAAATCACACTAATAATATTTTTCATAAAGAAAATATTTTGGCTTGCTTTTTTTCCTACACATAAATATTTTTTTATTAGATACAATCTTATTCGAAACACTGTCAAAAACTAAATATGAGTACTTCTTCTAATAAAAATTTAAACATTAATTTGTTATACTACGAGGGACTAAATTCTTCTATTAAACTCATCTTCTTGGTTGGCTTGGTTTTTAGCAAACAAGAAAGAGAATATTTAGATTGTAAGTAGACTAAGCAAAGGCCTGATACACCTAATGGGCCGAGGAGCTCCAATTCCAAGCCTTTAAGTATTCTTTTTCTTTCGTGATAAGTTTTTAGAAAAACCATACTTGTGTGTGTATATATTTAGTAAACTTTTTTTTTTGCCAACATATATATATTTAGTAAAATTTCGGTCTTTAATATAAAACCTTATTTAATTTTTATTTTGGTTCTAAATATAAGATCCTAATTCAATTTGTCTCTCATATTTATACATTTTTTTCTAAGATAATCCTTCTAATAATTATAATTCTAACCAATATAGTTGATTAGTAAGGATATTTTAGGAAAGACAACACCTATTTATTATAAATAACTAATTTAACTTTTTTCTTTAATCTCCTCAAATTAGTTAACTAAGTCTTATAATTAGGTCATGAGATAGTATCAATGAAGATAACCATAAATCAATAAGATATCATGGTAAATAAATTTTCAAATCAACATCAAATCGCATTCACTCCGTAACGACGTGACAAATACCAAACAGCCCAGTTTTTATATAATCTGAAAAGAATTAATTAATGCTCGGAAATTTGTATTGAATTTGTTTGTTACGAAAGAAAATCCAGTCCTTAACTTCTTTTTTCCGCCACAGAGCGCGTAGTCTTCACGCGGAAACCGCACGGTGGGGGCGTTTTGGTAACTTCATACGGACGGGAGTGTTCAAGCTTGAAATAAAGCCCTTCTGGTGCTCGTATTTGTATAGGATCCTAACCGCCAAAAACCCTCGCTCATCATCTTTCAAATGGGTCAAGCTTTACTTCTTGCTTAGGTCAAGGCGTCAGGCCTTTAATCTGCGAAATTATCGGCGCTTCATATCCATCTCCATCTCTCTAAGGCCTATTCTTCTTCAATTTTAAACTCCTGATCCTCTTTGCGCTTGCCCGCTCGCTCTTTGTCAGTTGATCATTATGTCTCAGAGGCAAGAGTTTCAATTTATCTTTGTTCTGGTCTTATTTGGTGAAATTTTGTATATAATTGTTAGGTTTAATTGATTAATCCTTCGTTGTTCTCTTGGGAAATGGGGTTTCGAATGTTGCCTACTTTCGTCGCTGTTGGTGTCTTTTCTTGTGACTTTGTGATGTTCATTCGTTCATTTAAGTATTTGCCGTTTATTTTGCATGCTGGCCGTTTGGTTTCTAGGATGATTTAGGCTGCTGATATATGTGGAATGAACCTGGCTTGGGGATATCGGTTGGGCAGTGTTCTCCGAATTCTTGACGGAGGATGGATCCCTATCGATTGACATCATGAACGATGTTGGAAGAAGCGTTTCGTGTAGTTATTTAATTGCTTTTCTTCCACTTTGTTTGATATTAAAAGAATGGATGTCTGTTGAGGGATTATTGTGGGTTAATATATGACCTCATTATTTGGCACGCGTTTGCTGTAACTTTACGTTACTATCGTTGGTTGAAACTTTACAATTTATACTATGTCAGAATTTTCAGCAAGTTCAAAACTGTGAGATTTAATTTGTATGATATCATGTCATTGTGTTTTTTTATATCTTTCCATTGGAATTGCAGACTCCTCTTTGATTATTCGTGCCTGTAATTTATATATTCTAATTCTTTTCTTAATTCCTCATAGGGTCTGTAAGTTCTATGCCCGTGGAAAATGTTTCAGAGGCGAGCAATGTGATTACTCTCATGACGTACAGGATACTCCAGTTGATGTAATTTACTGCCTTACTGGTTTCCTTTAAAGAGCGGATTCTGACTTGGATATGAGACATCATAAAATAAAAATAGTATCTCCGTACGATTGTAATTTGTTACATATCATATTTGATATGTGTCAAACATGCATCAGATATGACATGGTTTCATTTTGAAATATCAGTATCCCATAGCCCATAGTATATGTATCCCATGCAAAAATTTATTTGTATATGTTTCTCACTTGTCTTATTTGCTGAGAGCAGATTTGCACATTCTATCAGAAGGGACACTGCTCTTATGGTAGTCGATGTAGATATAAACATGTCAAAGCTTCTCAGGCAAGTTCTGCATCATCTTCAGAAAATGGTCGGCAATCTCTGTCTTCAAAGTCTGTCATAGATCATACTAGCGGAGGAAAATCACGGTGGATCCCCAAGAATACAAATTCTGCTAGCTTTGGTCATCTTAAGCATGTGAATTCTCCGAGGAGTGGTGATGTTGGTGAATCTAGTAATGCTATGCCTTCAAAGCATATCTTTTGTACCTATGCTGCCGCCAACTGTCCCTTGGGAAAAAAATGCTTGCTCATTCATGGAGACCAGTGTCTGTATTGTAGAAAGTATTGCTTGCATCCTGCTGACCAAAGGGAGAGAGAGAATCATTTGAATTCTTGTGACAAAAAGGAAAAATACAATCAGGCATTAAAAGATAGTCAAGAAATAGAGTGCAATATTTGCTTGGACCGTGTTCTTTCAAAGCCTAAAGCTTCTGAATGTAAGTTTGGGATGCTTCCTGAATGCGACCATGCTTTCTGCTTATCCTGTATCAGGAATTGGCGGAACAGTGCCTCGAACTCTGAAGCGGATGTCTTTCAAATTGCTAATAACAATAATACAGTGAGGACTTGCCCTGTGTGTCGCAAGCTATCATATTTTGTGATTCCAAGTCCTATATGGTACTCCACAAAGGAAGAAAAGCAGGAAATTATTGATAACTACAAGGCAAATTGCAAGTAATTTCTTACCCAGTTATCTTCTTCAACATTATCATTAAACTTATTAACCGCTTAATTTCATTTTCTCTTTAATTGTGGTAACCAATTGTGATTTCTTGTCCAAAAATTTCCCTTCCTATCATGGCTGCTTTATGCCTTTTGCACCCTCTCTTTCAAATGCATGCTTTCTTCTTATCATGCACTGGTTTATATTTACAATGTAGTTCTGGGCACAATATATTAGGTTACCTAGGGAACAATCTGATTACGTGGAACGTTAGGTAAATTCAACAATAAATCATTAAAAGCTAAAGAGCTTTTTTTTTCCCCCTTCCTTTTTTGGGTGATGCGACAGCTAGAATGTTTTATTAAATGTGCTCTTGTCTTGGTCAGGTTGATTGATTGCAAGCATTTTGACTTTGGAAATGGGAACTGTCCATTTGGAGCTAGGTGTTTCTATAAGGTAACAGAGTTATCATCTCTCATCTCCGTGTATGGTTGATTGTCATGATTGCTGACAAGTGCATGAAGCACTCTTCTTTGGACAATTTTTGAAAACCAACCCAACCCCCCCCCCCCCCCGGGGGGAAGGAAAAGATAGGGAATTGTCCACTTAATTAACTGAACAATAATGTTTCCAATCTGATTGTTACTCTATATAAAATAAAAAAAGCCTTTGTGTGGGATTTTTCTGTATTGTTTGTAAACATTTTAGCATGAACCGTTTGTGATACTTGGATCATGAGTTTATGTAATATGGGTTAACGGTACCCATCTGAATCAGGGACTACGGTTTTGCCTAGGATCGTTTCCAATTTCTTATTCATTAGAAGAATTATCGTGGTACCTGTAGTTATTTTGATGGTTGGTCTTGTAGCATACTGTGAAGCCAGGCTCAGTGACATGGAAACATGGCAAGCCACCACGTCGTCGCCGCTCCAGAGCACAAAATAATATGGATATGTATGAAATGATGGATATGCTCAGTGAATTTGATTTACAAAGTGGTGAATTCTATTCCATCATGCGGGAATCAGAGTTTTTTAAAGATATGGATCCTTATGAGATGATGGCTGTATCAGATATGCTGGCTTCCTCTGGTTCAGGACCGAGACTTTTTGATGATGAAGATTCTGATGATGAAATGGGTTTTTTGGATATGGCGGATCTATCAGCATCGCTGGATGACCCTTTTGGGGATGATGATGAATTAAATCCTTCGCAAGCAGCCTTCTTATCAATGATAATGCAATCTAACTTGGAAGAAGATAGTGAAGGGGACGAGGATGACTAGTTTTACTTTATTTAATGTTTATGATTAATTAGGTTTTGGAGGTGATTCCTTACATCTAATGCACGGCATCTACATTTCATATTGGAAAATGTCAGTTGTAACTGAAGGCTTTTGGCTCTTGCACTTCTATTTTGTGGATCCTTTGCCGGTTTGTATATTTTGCTGGTTGCAATCTTTTCGAAGATGTTACTTGTCAGCCTACTTTTACAGGTTGAGATTTCCCATGGCAAGGTTCTTTTGATCCTTACAGCCCTGGAGTTGGTTTGGCATGAAGGAATGTTAAATTTGCTTAATATTTGATGTGAGGTTATATTAAGATTGAAGCTGAAATGGAAAGCTTTTCTTCAGTTATTGACTGTGGTCCTCTTCACAAATAGAACCGATGCATCACGTGAACAGTACAGTTTGTGCTATCTATTTTGAGAGTTATTTAGCATGAAGGAAGTTGGAGTGAAAAGAATAGAAATACAGCTTTATAGAAATGAAGTGTTTGTTTTACTCCTCAATAAGTAAAATCATGCGTAGAATATTTTTAACATTATTTGTTTTTTTTAATAAACATTATTTTTGTCTTTAATCTGTAATATTAGCATGTTCATTTAGAACTGATTTTAACTTTTTGAAAACCTAAAATACTCCTCTGGTCCTTAATATAGAACTTAATTCTTGAGTTGGTTTTGGTCTTAAATATAAGACCCATTTTTCATATTTATCAATTTTCTCTAAATTACTCCTATATATACTCCCTCAACCATAATCAAATAGAAGAGGGAGAGGGGTATTAAAAAAGATGATTATGGTATTTTAGGAATAATGTGTCACTTTTCTTATAATTAACTAACTTATCTAACTTTCTTAATCTAATTAAATTAATTAAATGGGTCTTATATTAAGGACTGGAGGAGTATTAACTATGTTCCCTGCTCCGCTATAAGTCTCGCTCTTTAGGCAGTTTGCATGGTTGACTTGAGTGTTAGCTTATTTTTATATTGCATAATGACCGCACGTCACTTTTTTTCCCCCCGAATTTTTGGGCCAACAAAGAAACAACATTTTTTTTATGACTATTTGATTTTTTTTTTTTTGGCCTGAATGACTATTTGATGATTGTATGAGATTCAAGCATTATTGAACCTAATTAGAATAATTCTTCAAAAGGCAACAAGATATTAATTGCTTAGGCATAACAACACCAAAGTTTAAGAAAAAAGCGGATAAGCAAAACAAAAACATGAAAGAAAAGAGGGGTTAATGTGTATTTAGTATTTTGAAATATTTTTTCAGGTGCGTTTAGCATCCTGGAGTATTTTGTGGTGCATCCAAGCATCCAAAATTTTTTTTGAATGTTGAATGCATTACAAAATACTTTAAGGTATTAGATGCACTCGAAAAAATATTTTGAGATGCTGAATGCACTTTAACTTGAAAGAAAAAGAGACTTCATCTAGCATCTTGAATCCTCAAACATTTTTCTAATTCAATCTACATGACACATCTTCTTAAGTGAAGCCTTGGCCATTTTATCAATAATCAAGTTGCTTTCAGCAAACACTGAATCAAAATTCTGTCACGAGACTCAAATGATTAATTGATTACATTAATCTCGTTTTCAATGGCAGGTAGTCAACGCTAGGTATTAGTTTTGGCATTTCATTTTGATTTTATTCTGTAAAATTTGAAATTAATAGTTTTGATCATAAAATTTAATTTTATTTTGGTTCTGACCCCTCACAATTAAAGCAGGTAATTTTTGTCCTTAAAATTTAACGTTATTTTGGTTTTGGTCCTTGGTTCAAAAGCAAAATTTTTATGCCAAACCAAAATGAATCTAATTTCATTAATCAAAGCTGTTGATTTAAAGTTTTGGAGACTAAAATCAAAATGAGAATAAATTTTATGGACTAAAAATGATATTAATCCAAAAGAAATTTCACTAAAAATTGATATTAAAAATAATAGTTGATGTTTTTATTTTTATTGAGGAAATATTCTTAACCAATAATCAAGTGTTCTACATATCCAATCAATCAATATATCATCAATAAATAATGCACTTGATTTGGTATAATTTCTGAAAAATAATATTTACATATAGATATTAATTTATATGCTATATTAAAAAAATTATGTGCCAGACAGGGACACTGCCCGAGGGAGGAAGGGGACGGTCGGACTCGGGCGAGTTAACCCACCGAGCTGAAACGGCGCTAGATTGGTTTGTTGTGCTTCAACCATTTTTCTGCGACTTGCAGTCACTGAGGCTGTTTTATGCTCACCGTCCAAATCTCTGAGCGCAAATCTATCTTTTCTCATAATTATAATTTTTCTATTTCCTTATCCTTCGCCCCCTACACCGCCCTCCTTCAGGCGGGACTCCAATCATAGTTCACAGAGATTTCTGGATTTTGATTCTTCTTTCTTGTTTTTTATTTCAAAACAACAATAATTTATTCGAGGTTTAGGGTTTTGATCCTCCCGCCTCTCTCGATTAATTTAACGGAATTTCAAATCCCACCATGTCTAAGAGGTGAGGACCTTATAGCTATTAAATGTGTGATTGATTGTTTTCTTGTACGCAGGGGTTTCCATTTTTGTGGCCTGATTCTGGATATTGTGATTTGGCTATGGTTGTTGTTGGTTCTTTATCTGTTTTCGTTTGTGTCATTGGTTCTCTTTATTTCTGGTTTCTGGTGTTTGAAGGAAACACTTTAGTTTTTCTTATTGGTTGGGTAATCTTTCCATATTTCAGATAGAAATGAAAAAGGAGTGAGATTTTGAATCTTTTTATGAACAAAAGAGCGTGTATGAAATGAGTATTGACCATGAAAGTTAGGTTGTTTGGCTTGTTGGATTGTCAAATGCAGGGAAGCCAAGAAACGATGCAAAATGGATAACAATTCGCCCGAAGTTTGTGCTATTATGTTACACCGGGAAAATTTTCAATCGATTTATGGCCCATAAATTATTCCGAAGGCATAAGTTTTTTTCCTTTTATTGTTTTTGATTTTGGGAAGCTATTGTTCGATGCAAATAGCGGTAGGTAAATTGTAGATTTATTGTTGTGTACAATCCGACTTACTTAATTCTTATCATAATAGCCAATGAATATCAAAAATGTTCCTCGGTTGCTAGGAAATGTTCAGAACTCTATACAGGGGTGGAATTTGATTTCGTTGCTCTTGTTTATGAGTTTTATAGTTGGCCTTGGACGTCTTTTTTCGCCATGAATTAATCTTTTAACTAGCGCACGGTGTCTTTCTTTGTGGATATGAGTCTAACTATTTCTAATTCTGACCCTGTTTTCTGAAGTTTATGGGACAATCAATGCTCTTGTTCCCTGTTTTGAGATGGTATGTCGTTCTATTTCAGCTTGCATATTATTCTAACTTCTATACTGTCCTTTTCTGAATCCTCTAGGGTTCTTTGCAAATTCTTTGCCCATGGAGCATGTTTGAAGGGGGAGCATTGTGAATTTTCTCATGACTGGAAAGATCCTCCAAACAACGTATTTGATACAAGTTCTTTGCTTCAGTGATTTCCTTTAAATATTCAGTGATATACATTGCTCTTAATTGCTGCTTGCATCTCGTCTTGTTTTGACAGATATGTACGTTTTATCAGAAAGGAGCCTGTGCCTATGGCAGTCGCTGCAGATATGACCATGTCAAAGCTTCCCGTGAACAGTCCTATCATCCATCTTCTTCTGCCAGTGTACACCCCCTAAATTCAGATTCTTCTATAGTTGGTAGTACTAGAGTTGCATCAAATGGGGCTGCTACAATTCCTGAATTGACTACTCGTAGTGGACTTTCCTTTCCTATTATTCCTGCATGGAATGGAGAATCTGAGCCTCATATTCCTGATTATTTTCAAGCTTGGAATCCAGAACCTGGGCATCAGGATTTTTTAGAGGATAGTGATGCCAGTGAATCCAGAATTAATGATCCTTCTGAGCGTCCTATCTGTTCTTTTGCTGCTGCTGGTAATTGTCCTAGGAAGGAGAAATGCCCTTTTATTCACGGAGATTTGTGTCCTACCTGTGGAAAGCACTGCTTACATCCTTTTCGACCTGAAGAAAGAGAGGAACATACGAATGCTTGCCAAAAAAAGCAAAAGCATCTTGAGGCTTTGAAACGAAGTCAAGAAATTGAATGCAGTGTTTGCCTTGAGCGTGTTCTTTCCAAGCCCACTGCAGCTGAACGCAAGTTTGGGCTGCTCTCTGAGTGTGATCATCCCTTCTGCATATCTTGTATTAGGAATTGGCGTAATAGTAACCCAACTCTGGGAATGGACGTGAATACCACATTGAGGGCCTGTCCAATTTGTCGTAAGCTCTCTTACTTTGTGATTCCAAGTGTCATTTGGTACTCTACAACGGAAGAAAAACAGGAAATCATCGACAGCTACAAGGAAAAGCTCAAGTAATTTCTTAACTACTGAAGAATGCTCTCTCTCTCTCTCTCACACACACACACTCTAAAACCACAGGTTTTTTGTAATCAATCTATGACTTACATCACTAATTAGATTGGGGTGTTTTTACTTCGAATCACAATTGCATATTTCATCTATGGGCGGTTATTGGTAATTCTACTTCACCTCTCATTCTTCATTGGTATGCATGTGTAAGCAAAGTCTGATTTTACATGATGATTCTTGGTTGGAACATTAATATCTCTGTGCGCGCGGGCATGTGTTGTAGCTAATGATTGCTCTTTGTAGATCAATTGATTGCAAGCATTTTGACTTTGGGAATGGAAACTGCCCTTTTGGTACTAGCTGTTTTTACAAGGTAATTTATGAATGTTATTAGTAGTATTTTTTGTACGCTCTTTTTGTTTATTGGCCTTTTCCCCTAAAAATAAAAGAAAAAAGTCATTAAACCTGTATATATGGAATATTGGTTTTTCTTGGTCCTGAGACTTGACATTATTAATTTATCCTTGTGAACAAAGGCCAAATTCAATCCATTTTTCTAAGCAAAACAAATTTGTTTGATTCATGATACAAGAATAGAATAATTAAGTGATTGATATTTTACCTCCTAATTAGATATAGACATGCGGTTTTATTTTGTGGTAGTACCTCTAGTCATAAATATAAAAGCTAGTTCGTAACGTAAATTACACTACAAATTAGGTCTAATGTTTAGGACCTATATGATTTCTACTTCTCCCATGCACCAGTCCATAGAAATGCTTAGATGATGTCCCGACTTTGGCCCATACTAATTCTGATGCTCAAGTTTAAAGTGATGTTTAGAAATTGATGGTAGCCTTCACCTCTGTTCTCTTTTAACAGCATGCTTACCGAGATGGCAGACTTGAGCAAGTAGTTCTGAGGCATCTTGGGGCTGCAGATGGCAACACTGTGATTGCTAAAGACGTCAGGTTTGCTTTTCCATTTTATTACTTATTTTATCTTCTGCTCTGCTCCGTTTGACCTGTCCTCTCTTCCTATAACTTGTTTAATGCAAAAAATTTTACTAACTGAAACATGGGGCGAACAGGCTATCAGATTTCCTTTCTAACATGCATTTAAGATGAAGGGTGATGCTCATACGTTCTCATGTAAGTTTCTAAGCTTGTAGTCTCTCTTCGTATGAAAATGCCTTCTCTAAGTGGATTATGCTTATGATGCTAGTTTAAAAAAAAAAAAAAAAATTCTTTTTTTTTTCTTGGTTATTGTTGAGGATTTTTATGTTTTTCCTTCTCTAAATGTATTTTTTTCCCCTTTGACTTTAATACTCACAGCGGCAACATCTAAACCGACAATTTATTTAGCTCAGATGACTACTTGGTTTACTCTTACGCATGGTTTGAAGTTTGTCTTCACTAACAAATACAAACATCATTTAGTTCCTGCAGGTTTTATAAGGGTCTAGAAGTTTGGCCGCAGTTTGTCCTAATCGCTTCACCTGTCTTGTCTTTGCAGGATACTTGTATAAAGAAAAACGGATAAGCTTCAATGTCAAAGTTCCTTTTTATTCAAGTCAAGCTCTTCTTGTTTTCATGGTTGGTGATTCTGCAGTTAACCGTATATTCTTAAGGACCAAATTTTTCTGAATTATAAGTCATGCTGAAATTGTGTTTTAATTCTTTGTTTTGATTTTATCTTCTTGGATTCTATGTTCTTGCTATCCCTAACATTGCTTAAACAAAAAAAGCTTCACTTGGATGCAAGGCACACTGATCATTTACCAAATTCTGTGAGAGGTTTCTGACTTGTATTGTGACTTTGCAGAAGTATCAGTATGAGGGAAATGGCGAAACCAGCGCATTGTGTGGGCAGCGTAATAAAGTGCACCAGTGTATGATTATGAACGGAAGGACGTATATGACGACTGTAATCTCAATAAGCTCTCTAAAGAAAGCGGCATCATACAGAACTGCAAGTGTGTATTTTTGATGATGGTGTCATGAACTTCATGTGTCCACATTCCTTGTTTAAGCCCTCAGCGAGTGTGAATTGAGAAAATAAGCACTTTGATGGCCCATATATTGATTATGTGAATTGTGAAATAACTGATTTGGGTGATGAATGAAGTTCTGCAGTTATGAGCATCATTTACGTACCTTCTTTTTATGTTGGAAGAAATTCAGGTGCTCATTTATACCTGTTTGGAATGTTTTATGAGTAATTTTTTAGCCGTAATTTACGAAATATGAAGTATGTATGAAGAATTTTATCTCGATTTGTATGAAATGTATTTATAGGTGATTTCAAACTGTGCCTATCGTTGATATATGGCTAGAAAATTGTCAATCATGCAAGTTAAGAAATTTTCAATACTTGAAAAAGTGTTTCGACCCGTCCAAGTTAGGATTGATGGGTCTACACATCGCTTGTTCTGTCACCAACTTTAACGGAAAAATTACTTCAAGCACAGCATCTAAAATACTCCAAAGTCTTACTTTAAATGTAAATAAGTTTTATGTACACTTATCAAAATATCTGTACTTTAAAAAGTTTTTTTTTTTAAAAAAAATCTCTGGTTCATGGTCATCCGCTTCGATGTGCCCCCACTGTTAGCTGCTCATCCTGTCATCCCAAAGCCCTAGTCGTGAGTTTAAGAAGATACTCTTCCGATTTTTAATATAAGACCGATTTAACTAATTTGATTAGATTAAGGAAGTTAGGTAAGTTAGTTAATTATAAAAAATGTGACACGTTTTTCTTAAAATACTATAATCATCTTTATTAATACCTCATCTTCTTCTTCTATTTAATTATGAGTGAGGAGTATCCATAAAGATAATTTAGAGAAAATTGATAAATATGAGAAATGGGTCTTATATTTAGGATCAAAACCAACTCAACAATTGCGTCTTATATTAAGGACCGGAGGGGTAATATCACTTCCAAAAACTAATTGATTAATTTGAGTAAATTAAAAAAATTAGTTAAGTTAATCATTTATAATAAATAGGTATTCTTATTAATTATATGTATTAGCTTAAACTACCATGTAATGAAACATTTAACATATGAACTATTACAAGGACCATCTTAAAAAAAATAAATAAGTATGAGCAACAAAATGAATTTGAGTCTTATATTTAAAATCAAATTGAAAGTTAATTAACTCTTATATTAAGAATTGAGATGAGGAAAATTTTATCTCGTTTTATAAAAATGTCTCTGCAAGACATGATATAAGCAGCTCCAAGTAAACCCATAACCATTGAGTTGCTGATACATCTAAAATTATGATACAAATTATTTTATATGAATGTGTATATGTATACAAATGTAGTCTCCAACCCATTAAAAAAGGCTGACAATTTTATAAAAAAGAGATCATAAATTCTAATTCTAAAAACGTATTTGTTAAGAGAAGCAAAAACTCATTAATGCCCTTCAAATTTTTTTCTTTTAAAATAAAGCTTTAAATTCAATGTCACTTTGAAACGTTATCAGCATGCAGCAAATAAAAAACGATAATGTTCATATCAAAGAAAAGGTGAAAAAAAGAAAAGAAAAAGAGGGGGACAAAAATGGTCGGAGGGAGCAGAAATCACGTGGAGAGAGAGGCAATCCAATGAGATATGCAAGTATTCCAAATAAGTTGACAAACATCATGTGATAGGTTCCGCCAACATTCACGTTCACGCCCCTTTCAACTCTCTCCCCTTTTTTCTTCATATTCGATTTTACTACTATTTGCAGCAGCAGTATTCCTGTTCAAAGCCACAAAAAAAAAAATCCTATTTTTAAATTAAAAAAGAACAAAAAAATAAAAATTAATTAATTTTAAATCAAACTTGGCAGCAATATTTTATTTAGTATTGATAATATTAAATTTAAAAATGATAATAAATTTTTGTTGATATTTTTTATTTGATATATTATAATTTTCAGCTTTTTTGTCAATTTTTTAAAAAACATTTTATTTGGGGTTGACAACACTGAATTTACAAATAGTAACAAATTTTTGTTGATATTTCTTATTTGGTATTTTATAATTTTCAGCTCTTTTTTTGGTTATTTTCTCTTTTTAAATTTGCAAACAAAAATATATTTATTCCTTAATATTTAAAAATTTTAGGATATAATGAAAGAAATAAGGTGTTTAAATACCCATAAATATCTACAAACAAGCACTAAGCACTTGAAGGTTCTTTTTGACCCTTATATATCTTGAAAATTTATTTTCGTAGCAAAAATATCCTAATCATTATCTGTCATTAAATTTGACTATTAAATTATGATATTTGACCAATATTTTTAACAGTTAAACTTAACAATAAATGACCGTGCAAGGCAAAAATACTACAAAATGAAACTTACAGAACATTTAAAAGTCAAAAAAAATTTCAATGTTAAGTGCTCTTTTGTAATTCTATTGGGGTATTCAACTTATCCTTACAATAAAATGTCCCTTCCTTCAAAAGTTTATCTTCTTTGGGTAAAAGAACATTCACATTAAGTCATGAATAAGAAGTAAACCATGATAAAATATCTATCACTTATCACCTTAAAGTATTTTTTCAGGTACATTTAATATCGTAAAATTTTTCTTTTTGCCTTCATGCTCGGTGTATCAAAAAGTATTTTAGGATATTAAACACATCTGAAAAAAATATGTTAAGATGTTAAATGTATAAAAAAAATACTTTCTACATTGGATGCATTTAAAAAAATATTTTAAAATGCTTAATATATTTAAATATTTTAGGATAATAAATACACTTAATAAAATACTTTGCTGGATGCATCTTAGCCTTTTAGTAAATCTATGGTTAAATTTATTAAACTAATATATCTATTTCTATTTATTTATTTACATATTATACGGTTAGTTGTTGCCAGTTGCGTGATAGCTCCTTTTCAACTGTACCACCAAATATCTTACGCATCATGCCGTATGTGATAATATAAATGTTTTCATTAAAGTTTTCTGAAAAATTAAAAAATATATAGTTTAATTAAAAATTATATACTCAACGTCAAAAATTAAAAATTATATACTGCTATGTAAGGTATTGTAATATTTTTTTTCAAAAAAATGTATATTCCATAAATTAGGAATAATTATGTTTTTCAGCCTAAAGATAAATAATTTGATATAGAATGAAAATGTAAGAGAATTTTAAAAATAATTTTTATAACAAAATTTTTTTAGATGAATTAAATCATTTGGGTTCAATGAGTTCAAGTCTTTAGTCTCAATAAATACGAATGGAGATGCTCACAAATTATTCACTGATAAAATCCTTACATTTGTAGCTAGATTTAAAAAAAAAATAGTACTATTTACATTTATATATTTGAAAACCTATTTACAAAAAGATCTTAAAAATTCATGTCTACAAATAAATTTTGAATATATATAAAAATTAAACTTGTATGTTTACAAATAAAATGTAATTAAGTTATGCTTGTAAGTTGTAACTTAAACTTTCGTATTTATAAGTGGAGTTATGTTCTGGTCAAAAAAAAAAAAAGTGGAGTTATGTTATTTATAAATCATGATTATAAAATTGGTAAAAAGAAAAAAAAGGGTTGAATTATTTGAACTCTCTATTTATTTATTTTTTTACTTGAGATTTATGGGTTTTTTTTTTGCAGAAAAAAGTTGTAAAAAAACAAGAAGTAGAAGACTGAATGACGATTGCAATCAAAAGTAGGCAGCCAAAAGAGAGCACAACAAATGCGAAAGGGCATTATTTCCACCGAAAGTTATGGTCCAACATCAAGGTAGGGTCCCTATTTGTCTCTTGCCGTAAAAGAAGCATTCATTATTGCCTCCTCCCTCCAATTTCTACCTTTGTTTTTAGGGGTAAGCATTCGGTTTTTCGATTCGGTTATCGGTGATAACTGAATTAATTGAATAACCGAATAGAGTAAATTTTAAACACCGAATCGAAACCGAATTAACCGAAAATTTCAGTTCGGTTAACCGATTAACCGAAATATATAAATATGAAAAATAATTTTAAATTAAAAATAATAAAACACAATTATAACCATTAATTAATAAATATTTCATCATCCAATGTGGTTTATTATAATAATATTTATCATAATCATATTTATTGAATATAAATATATTTAAAAAGTTCACATATATATTTATTATAATAATATTTATTAAATATAAATATATAATATATTTATTTCGGTTATTCGGTTATAACCGAATTTTTGTTCTACTAACCGAACAGAACACCGAAACCGAATTGTTTAAAAAATAAAAACCGAATATATAACCGAAAACAGAAATAACCGAATCGAAAAACCGAAATTAAATTCGGTTCGGTTCGGTTTTCGGTTACGGTTCGGTTTTGCTTACCCCTACTTGTTTTTGCTTCTCTTTTCGGCTACTCTCTTTTTTTGCCTTCTATTTATGAGAAACCAAAAGGCACAGCGTATTAGAACATGTTTAGATTGCTGTTTCTAACGATAAAAATGTCTTAAAAATGATAAAATTGAGATTGTAAATTGAGTAGGACAACAAATATTATTTGGTTGGGTTAACTTTTCCAATCAACTTATGGCCTTTAACTTCAGTTAAACTCAACAGAGAAAAATTTGACTTTTCAAACTGCAGTTTCAAACGGTAATCATTAAAAATGAACATTCCAGATTTATACTTACATTTCTCCCTCTGCCTCATCTCCTTTGTTAGTATAATGAGCTTTTATTCAGACTAAATGAATTTTAATTTATATTCATATTTATCTATTATATATTTAATTAATTATCTACAATGTGTTTTCAAATTTTTTTCCGTAACAAATATTTTTATTTTATAATTTTACAAATAAACTTTATATTTTATAATAATTTTATGTATTTTTTTAAAAATTATTATCACATTAAAAACATAAAATTTCAAACACTATTATTCAATAAAATCTATATCTTTTTCAATTATTTTTCGTTTTACAACTAAACTAATTTTTCTATTAATTATCTAAACAACTTTTAATTTTTTCAACTGACTTTTTAAAAGTATCTATACAAACATACCCTAACTAACTTTTACTATAACTTTAGTTAGTTATAAAAATCAGTTGAGTTAGAAATCAGTTTTGTTCAATACCAATTCATAATGTACAACCTTCAAATTGCCATCCTTAATGTCCCTAGTTAAGCTGTAAATTTGCTTCAAAGACTCGTATGAAATTTATTTTGTCCTTCCGGATATCCAATGTTGTCGAATAAATCAAGGCAAATTCGTTCAAT